CACGGACCGTGAGATCATGACCTGAGCCGAAGCCGGCCGCTCAACCGACTGAGCCACCCAGGCGCCCCTGAGTTGGAATTTTAAACTGCAGCAGCAGAAAGAACTTCAATAGGAACTTCAATAATGGTTAATAACCATTAACTTTTCCGTTTACATCGTTATTTTCTACAGAACATTCTTGCCCTCTTTTTTAAACCTAAATCGTGTATGCTTTTTAAATAACGTGTTTTGAACAATGACTTAGAATGCATAGCTCTGCCTTTAATATGGTCTTTGTCTTTCTGGCAGCTCCTTGCTCTGCTATGGCTTACCATCACGACAGCAGACGGATATTTGTGGGCCAGGATAATGGAGCCGTCATGGTAGGTCGCTTCCAGAGTGCATGCGTTACATTGACCCCCCTCCCCCCCCAGCGTTCACGCCTGTTGGACGGTTGGAATAAAGAATGATGGATGCCTGATTGTTTGGCATCAAAGATTTTTTTTTTTACTTCAGTAAGGGTATTAGGCCTAAAAATGGGTTAATTTTAATTAGTGCTTATTTTTAAACTAGTCACGGAGCTCAGAATGTTTTCATGATTGATAGTTCGGTGTTCAGCCTAAGCCACAAAGCACAGCTTTCCTAAGGTGAATGTGAGGCCTACAGCAGCCCCATCCTTGAACCGTGAAGGGGGCCAGGCGGGGGGTGGGCATGACGGCCTGTGTGCACACGCGTGCACGTGTATGGAAGTGTAACCGTGGAGAGGGACAGAGGGCAAGGTTGGTGACTGGTCATTGAGCCAACAGCTCATATGACCGTTTAAGGCAGCGCTTCTCCAACTATCTGTGGCTAGATATTCAAAATTTCAAGTTAATATAGATTGTAGGTATTTTTATGATTCTAATTGCGTGGGTGTGTGTATGTGTATTTTCTTAATGGAGGTATAATTCGCGTGAAATTTCACCAGTTTAAAGTATGTAATTCACTGGTTTTGTAGTATATTCACAAGATTATACAACCATTAACCTTCTCTAATTCCAGAACATTCTCACCACCCCCACCAAAGAAACCCGTACCCGTTAGCAGTCACTCCCACGCCTCCTTCTCCCAGCTCCTGGTAATCACAAATCTGCTTTCCGAGTGCAGAGATTTGCCTGTTTTAGACATTTTATGTAAACAGTCACATAGGATGCGTTGCCTTTCGTGTCTGGCTTCTTTCACTCAGCATGTTTCCAAGGTTCATCTGTGTTGCGGTTTGAATTAGCGCCTCATTCCTTTTATGGTGGAATGGGATTCTGTCACGTGGGCATAGCAGCCCTTCACGAGCCTTTGTGTTTCTTCTGCAAGGCTGGCGGTCATGTCCCCCTTCCGTTGCTGGATTTAGTGGTTGGAGTCCTCGCTGTTTCTTCCTGGCTCCAGCTGAATGGGTGTCCATTTCCTTGATCTTTTCAAAGAACCAGTTTTGGTTTCAGTGTTTTTTTTTTTTTCTTTTGTTTTTCCTATTGTCCGCTTATTTATTTCAACTCTAATTTTATTATTTTCTTCCTTCTGTTTGCTCTGGGTTTAGCTTGCTGGATTGATATTTTTGACACCACCTTGGAGCAAGTGAGAACATCCACGATTTCATCCTTGGGTGTGATAACAATATGCTCAGCACCAGGGAGGGGCTGGGGGGGGCGATGGGAGAAGCAGTCTGAGGCCGGGTCGTGTCGGGCCTGGTGGGTCTGGATAAAGTTTTAAGTTTTGTTGTAGACTCTGTGGGAAGCTCTGTGGGGCTTTCAGCAGGCAAGTGACAGGATATCATTTATGCGCTCAAATGATCCCTGTGGCTGCTTGGTGGAGAATGGATCAGTTTGGGGGGGCAGCAGGAATGGAAGCTGGACGGTCAAGCTGTGACCCTGGGAGAGAGGACGCTGACGGGGACAGTGGACAGAAGTGGGTGGATTTGAGGTGCGTCTGGGAAAGGTTGGTTGTGGCGAGGGGAAGAAGAGGAGGAGGCTGGTGATAGCCAGGTTTCTGGCTCAAGTCACTGGGTACACAGTGGTATCATTTACTGAGAAGACAAAGGCTTGGGGGCGTGTGAGAAGGGGACATTTGGAGGGAGAGAGGACAACGAGGAACCCAGCCGTACAGTTGAGAGACCAGGGGGATAAGCAGTGGCCGCCCATGTGAAGTTAGCATCAGATATGCAAGCCTGGAGCCCATTGGGAGCCTCGGCTGTAGTCCTTAGCATCGAGGGTGGTTTTTTTTCAGCTGTAAGAATGGCTGTGTTCACCTGGGGAGAGAATGAGCAGAAGGTAGGGAGAGATCGAAGAAAGAGGTGAGCCATTCCAGAGCAGTGGGGAGCAGGTTTAAGAAGCCAGGGGGCTATGTACAAGGCTTGTCTTGAATGGCTGCGAGATGAGGAAGTCTCTGCCCCACCCCCCGCCCCCGAATCTTAAAAGTTTTAAATAGTGGCCTTCACTGGGTTCAGTCACGTATACTGTCCAGATGGTCCCAACAGCACGTCGCCATCAAGGCTGTCCTTGGGACAGCCTCTGGGAACAGGGGAGGTCAAGTGACACACACTTACCAGAGACCAGGGAAAAGGGTGAGGGGCCTCTGACTGCTGATTGCCAGGGCCCCAGTTCACGGGCCAGCTGGTGGTCGTGTCCTCTCAGTGACCTCTCTCGACAGCGAACCTCAGGGTCAAGTACATTAGGCAATCACTGCACGAAGGGGAGCCATTGAAGGGCAGTAAGCCAGGGAGCATAGACTCATCAGGTTTCTATTTTTGTGAGCTTAGCGTGCCTGTATGTGGAGTTCGGGGGGACAAGGCTGAAACTGAGGCGGCCCAGCTAAGAGGCTACTTCAGGACCCCGACGTGAGACTGCGAAACACTGGGGGTAGTGCTGGAGAAGAGGTGATGGCTTCGAGAACTGTCTGGGCAGCAGGCTTGATGTCTGGTGGGATGTGGGTGCTTAACAGAGAGCTGTGTGAAAATGGCTTCCAGGTTTTTAGCCAGGATGGTGGTGGTGAGCGGTCAGCTGCCCTCTAAGAAAAGATGCTGATAACAGAGGGGAAGTTGATGAGGTCCGTTTTGACAGTTGGGTCCATGGGCCTGAACCTCAAGGGTTTGGTCTGGAATTGGGAGTTCTCTGAATATAGGTGTCAGCGGAAACTGCTAACAGTGGCCGGGTGGCTCCAACTGGGGATAGCAGGTGGATTGAGAAGAGCCGAGGGCCAAGGTCACATTCCCTGGGAATATCAGGAAGGGAAATCAGAGGGCTCGGAGCCCATGGGGGAGACGGAGGCAGAATGGGCAGAGCTGGAGGACAGCCAGCGAGGACGCTGTGGCCGTGGAAGCCAGAGAGGCAGGGAAATTCACATGGGGGTGAGTAACTGTCAGGTGCAGCAGAGAGAGGATGAGGTCAGGCCTGGAAGATGACCCTGGGGACATCCCAGGAAGGGAAAGCCCTTTCTCTGTAGTGGTGGCAGCGCCATGCGGGCGGTGGGTGGAAGAATGACCAGGAGAGAGCAGCTGGAGGGCCCAAGGGCAGCCAGTGTGGGCTGATCTCAGAGAAGGGGCCGAAGAAAGTCGGAGGATTGTTAAAAACAGTTTTGTTGGTTTTTTGCTTGTTTTGGTTTTGAAACAAAAAGATAAGAGGCCTCGAGTGTGTGGAAGAGCCAGGGAGGAAGAAGCTGGCGGAAAGGACAGGCCCCCTGCCCAAGCAGTTCACTCAGCGGCGGGCAAGGTCAGGCTTGCTCAGCTCCTCGCCCGTCATTCTGGGGCTGCGGTGAATGCCTCACGGAGCCGTAAATGCAAATGTTCTCGTTTCTCTCCTGAAAATTTTATAGGAATACCGTGGCAGTGTGCATGCACGTGTGTAACCAGAAGCCACGAAGCACAAATAATTTCTCCAGTGGTGGCAGTGGTTGCGCATTGATTTCTCCAGGGACCCTTCTTGTGGCTCCCGGTTCAGGGGTAGATTATAGAACAGCATAGAAAAAACACACAGCTCTTCAGTGCAAAGGGGCAATGTGAATCTGTTCATTAGCACATGATCTGTTGATTTTCCACCCAATACAGATGAGTATATATACAGTGATATATACTAGTACATTTATACTGGGCATATATACTGTATATTATATATATTATCTTACATTTGAGGATATATATTATAGTACATATATGAACACACACACACATATATATGGTAATATATACTGGTACATTTTTGTACTTTCCAATACCAAGATGGAGAGCAAGGGATCAGTATTCCTTTGTGAGTTTTTTTTTCTTTTTGTCAACAATTCACAATGTCCATGTTACTTAGAGCCTTAAGAACTTATCACTTAGCATCAATCAATAGAATTCATAGTGCTTTTTCTTTAGAGTTGTGTCTTCATTTTATGCTGAAGCTGATTTTTTCATTAACAAGTATATACTCTTATTTTTTCCTACTTATAAAGTATTGCCCTGTCTATAAAAAATCAGGAAGATACAGGGTATTTTAAAAAAGCAAACCACCCACAACCTCTACACTTCCTTTTTTTTTGTACGTGTTCTATATGAAATATATGTAATTTCCCCCTTACATTGGTGAGGTACCCAATGCCATATTTTCAGTGTAGCTGAGAACTCTGTTCATAATGGGTCTTTGTAATTTTGCTTTACGGACGTCATCTTGAGGAATGCTCAGCGTAACCAGGACTGCAAAATTAACAAGCCCTCCTCTGCAGTGGAGGGAGAAGGAATACAAAGCTCTCACTCGCAGAGGGAGAACTGCAGAAAAATACTGTGCTGGTCCGCAGCACCTTCTGTATTCGGTCTGCTCCCCAAAAGAACTAGTGGCTTGAGGACAAGCCTGATGAAAGAAGCAGTTCCATAGTATTCTTCTAGAGTTAATCTTGAGTCCCACCTCTGGCCATAGCTAGGTTTGGATTTTCCTTTATTTTGAAAGTTAAGTTCCTGTTTTTAAAACCATGACTGTTTTCTTATCGCATGTGTTTACTTTTAGGAATTTCATGTTTCTGAAGATTTTAATAAAATGAACTTTATCAAGACTTACCCAGGTAATTATGATACACACACATACTTACATATATATGTGTGTAGATAGACGCACACAAAACTAGAACACTGCCTCTTATCAAAATTAGGTTTCACTTGAACTTTTTAGTGGTGTTTCCCCAATTATACAGGAGGCTATTAACTCTTAGAGATATTTACCATCCTTTCCTGCTTATCACCGTTCAAAATTTTCTATACTGTTCCATTGGGTGCATGATCAGATTTAATTTACCCATTCTTCTATTTTGGAGCATGGGTAGTGCTTCCATTTTTTGCTAACACACACTGACCTGTCTGACAGTGTATATATACGTAGGTGAGTGTATGAAACATTCACACGCGCACACACACACACACACACACACACACACACACAGGTATGTGTGCGTGTGGTGTGTGTGTGTGTGTGTGTGTGTGTGTGTCTTGACTATTATTCTGACGCTAATCCCCTAGCCCTGGGTTACTTCTATTTAAGACAAATGCCTAAAAATGGAGTAGCTGGCTCAAACAAGTTTTTTAATGCTCTAGATTTCTTTTACAAACTTCTTCCCAGCAATAGTGTGAATTTTTACAATCCCACGAGTAGCTGAAAGTATCTGCTCATCAAGGCTGTACGACATTGCTCTTACAAATGTTTTTTGCCAGTTTGATAGTCAGAAAGTTCTCAATTTAAAAGTTACTTAAGCTTTATTTAGTGTTGATCATTTGTGATCTTTTATGAATGTCTGTTGATGATTTTGCCCATATGCTCATAGAGTTGTAGTGCTTTTGAATTAATGTATGAGAAAGAGTCCCTCAATTCTTTTGAAGCAGCCTGTACAGCTGAGAGCAAGGTCAAACAGTTTCTCTGTCCAGCCTCTAACTTCATTCATCAGACTGGGCATTTATTAAACACCTGCTGCATACCAGGTCCTATACTAGATGAAGTAGACTAGACAGGTTACTGCCCTAGTGTGGCTTGCAATCAACCTGGAAACGAAAGTATTTGACAGGTCACATGATAGAATGCCTTCCTTTTTCTCAGCTGTTATTTTGGAATACAGAACTCCACAAACACTTTGTCTTTATAAATAACAAAAAGTTTCAGACAAACAGAAAATATTCCAGAATCAAAATGCTTGCACTATTTTTTAATTTCAGAAAATTGAACTTCTCCTGCTCACAATGTCAGTGTTTTCTAAAAGGTCAAAGTATTAAAGTGATAGACTATAAAAAAAACATTGTTCCTTTAAGAAAAGACTACCGCATTCCATATGGGACTGATAATTAATAGCAAAGGAAAGCTGTTCTCTCGAGTACAGCCAAAAAAAAAAAAAAAAGTCTGCTCTTTGATCTGTTGTTGGAATCCCTCTTGAGCATCAGTCTTCAGTGAGCTGTGCTTCCCATCGTCCACCCAAGTAGGGACACAGGGCAGCTGGGCCACGGAAAGCAAGTGTGTGGTGCTGAGCTGGGGCTGGGAAGGTCATCTGAAAGCTGGCTCACGGAGCCCGGGCGTTTCCGTGGTAGGGTAATTGAGACCGTGAGCCCCCAGGCCAGCCGGCTCGAGAAGGCGCGCGCCTCCGTTCGGATTCGGAAGGTCACGTTTTTTCGTGAAGGGCGCAGACTTCCCTTTGTGTTCCCGCAGCTCATCAGAACCGAGTGTCTGCGATTATCTTCAGCGTGGCTGCCGAGTGGGTGATCAGCACCGGCCACGACAAGTGCGTCAGCTGGATGTGCACTCGCAGCGGGAACATGCTCGGGAGGCACTTCTTCACTTCCTGGGCTTCGTGTTTACAGTATCCTTCAGCGGGCGGGCCCTTCCCCTGCCCGGCGCCTCCTTGTCGCGGCAGTTCGTTTCGAATCTGATCGTGAATTGGCGGTTGAGATCCAGGGAGATTGAGCGATTCCTGCGTACTTCGCATAAAATCCAAGAAGTTCTGTGTCCGTGTTTCTTTGGTATAGAGTTGGTTGGTTTACTAAAAATCATGATCAGATGAATTGCCGTTCTCTGCCGGAAAGTACTGTCTGTTTTTAATACAAAACCTTGGAAACCTAAACCTTAATCAACCCCCCTCACCCCCTCATTCCTTTGCATTTCAAGGTGAGAATAAAGACCTTTTTGTTGAATAAAGAAAAACGAAAAGGGGGTCGATCTTTTATTCGATCATTTGCAGACCCTGAAAGAATATAATAAGGATTTATGACCCTGGAGTTCATAAATGGACTTAAGGGAGTTTTATAGTTGGTCGGCGTGTATGTGGAGGGGGTTCATAATCCATTTAATATTCTCAGAGATGCCTTAGGGTCCTCAGAACGCTAACAAATTGCTGCTTTCACAGTTTTCTTTTTTTTTTTTTTTTTTTTTTTTTTTTTTTTTTATTTATTTTTGGGACAGAGAGAGACAGAGCATGAATGGGGGAGGGGCAGAGAGAGAGGGAGACACAGAATCGGAAACAGGCTCCAGGCTCCGAGCCATCAGCCCAGAGCCTGACGCGGGGCTCGAACTCACGGACCGCGAGATCGTGACCTGGCTGAAGTCGGACGCTTAACCGACTGCGCCACCCAGGCGCCCCTGCTTTCACAGTTTTCTACTACTGTCTGGAACTTGTTTCCTGTAGAATTTGCCCTTACAGGCGACCGGTGGCAGCGGTGTATCTCAGGGATGGTGCGCTCAAGGCTGTCAACAGGCAAATACCCCAGAGTAGTTCCTTTTCCAGAGTTGGCTGTCTGGCGCGGTAAATCCCTTTTTTCCACGGAAAGCCTTTATGAAAAATGTTTGCTACAAATGAATGCACAGCATGAGGTCTTTAAAATAAGCATTCAAAGCAGTCCCATACATTTGAGATTCAGATAAGGGAAAAATACTTTGATTCGTCCTGTGCTAAGGAAGCGTTTCTGTCATGGGTAGGCTTCTCATATGGATTGCAAGAAAATGGTGCAGAAGCACAAAGGCACAGCCCAGGCTGTGCTGTTCTTCTTGACCTGTGTTTTGGCACTGAAGCAATGGGCAGCCTGATGTGTTTTAAACTGCTGCTCGGCCACCGGTTTCTATGGCCATTAAGTGACCGAGAAAGTAGTGAGTTGCTGTCAATGGTTCGTGTATTTTTGAAATTTAAATTTACTACTGTTCAAATAACTGCATTTTGGATGATTAAAACTCTCCACGGCGATTTAAAATGAATCATCCTCTGCACTTCAAGCTGTCTCATCCAGGCCAAAAGAAAGATGGGTTCGTGTCCGTATTTGCTACGAGTTTTACATTATTTCCAGAGATATTTCATAAATAGCCATTTTGTTCCAGTTCTTTCTTGCTGTTTTCATTATTGAGTGTTTTCCTTTTTGTACTTAATTACAGTTTGATTATGACTACTTGTTTTCATGTCTGTCTTCTCTGTCAGCTCTTATCTTTTTTTTTTTTTCCAATACCCTAGAGTATTGGCTGGAATAGTAACAGGTACTCAATGAATTCTTGTCAAATGAGTGAGTATTAATTTTCCCAAGAATTCCGCCTTGAAAAGCCTTTTTTTTTTTTTTTTTTTTTTTTTTTTTTTTTTTTTTTTTTAAATACGTGTTGCCCGAATTTCAGTTGGGTATTTCTTTGTCTCATAGTTTTAGGCTTGTGCTTACTTCCTTAAAGGGCACATTGTTCAATTTTACAACTTTCGGATGGATTGTGTTATATATCCTTGACTGCTTCTCCACAGATATGATTATGATACTCAGTATGCTTTTGTTGGCGATTACTCCGGGCAGATCACCCTGCTGAAGCTTGAACAGAACTCCTGTTCAGTTATTACAACCCTCAAAGGACATGAAGGTAGGCTGTGTGATCACCCACGGGTTCTTCACCTAATCTGGGCATCCGGATTTAGTTCTCGGCGCTGGGGCTTCATGAATGATCAGCTCCTATGACCTGTCGGTTCCGGTTTGATTAGCCAGATGTGGGATATAGATCTAAAAGAGTGAAGGCTAACTGTAAGTAGGCTCTTGGGCTGGGTTCCGTGTTGTCAAAACCTTGTCCAGATGGTTCATGTGGATAATACTGTCTATTTTGTTTGCCTTTTTAAATTAAATTATTTTCAGAAGATCTTTTAAAATTCTTATAAATGGTAAGACCTTTGGAAGAATGTTGTTTTTTTTTTGTTTTTTTTTTTTTAATTTGTCAGTTTCTAGGACACTGAACAAGAGCTGGGAGACCATACAATTAGGAGAGATGTCTGGGCTGTTCTGCTTCTGCTTGGTTAGCGACGGAGGGGAAAGAATGGGTGGGATTTTATCATTTCTACAGTGCGGTGAGTTGGTCAGGCTCTAGGAAGAGTTCTAAAACTCACTTGGCCATTTTGGGTAACAAATTAGACACTCGAGCACCGTCTGGTTTCGATGGAAGGGTGGGGGAATCTGTTGAAAGAACTAATGATGAACTTACTTATGAAAATAGTGTTTTAGGTATCCTACGTTAAATACACTCTATACTCTGTGCTTTCTAGTGAATCTATTTGAGTGAAACCGAGTCTGTCAGATCAGGGATCTTGTAGAGCAAAGGGGGGTAAGTAAGTTAGAATGTATTCGGGCAGGAAGGCACAGCCCCTAAGGAAACCACTTGTGTTTATGACTAATGGTCTCATGGTCCCCAGGCTCCTGAGTGTTCTCTGGGTTGCTAAGGACAGACGGGGTTCTGGGGACTGCTTAGTAGTGTTTATAGCGAAGGACCATGTTTATCTGCTGTCAGGCTTCCAGTGAAGTGTACAGGGCACAGCATTAAATAGGGTCAGGAGTTATGCACAATGGTTCCCTGAAGCCAGTTTTGCAGAACGCTTCTTTTTTTCCCTTATGCTAAGTCTCTGTGAAAAACTAGTTTCCGTTGTTTGCTTTTGAATGGGACTTCATCGGTTTTCTCTATACCTGCCAGAAGCGTTAACTTGGGTGACTGGCTCGGTTTTGTTAAGTTTGTTGACAGCTTTTTCTAGGCAAGCAGTAATCAATAGAACCACCGAGAGAGAAATCTGTTGAAAGAGAAAACTGTGGAAAGATTTCTCAAGGGTATCAAATTTGTTAAGTTTAGCCAATATAGAAGGCATAATTGTGTGCAGACCATTTTGTTTTCTGAGACCCTTAACTTAATTTCCTTACACATGTGCATCTTGAGGTAAGACACCTGCAAGGCCCCGGCAACCTGGAATAATCTAGACATTTATCTTCCCTAAGTTGACCACAGTGATCTTCACTGTCTCTTCTCATTGAATATTGTCCGCTTTTATTTTTTCCCCTCAAAAGCTTTTTCTGGACTAACCCTTCATAAATATGTATCTTTTTTTTTTTTTTT